AGGAAGCCAGGCTGATGGTGTGAGCCTTCCAGTAAAAACCAGGCTGCTCCCACAGACCGTGGCATACCTTGGTCAGCCTGAACCTTGCAACAGTTTTCTGTGGAAGGGCCTGCTGGCTTTTGCTGTTTTTTATTCCCTGTCTGCCGTGGATCAACTTTTGTAAAACACACCACCAATTAATTCCCAGACCAACTTTGACAACCAAGACTGTACCAAAAACACAAGCCAAATTGTTTACTGAATTCAGCAGACATAAAGTTACTTTGTCAAATTGCTATAGAAAGTACTTAAACCATCAATTTCTGTCTTTATCTCACTGGCTAACATTTTCAGACGGGTCAGGCGAGCAGCCGCCTCCCAGGAGAAGCACTGCCACGACCTGGCTGGGGTGGTGGCGGTCCCTCGGACACAGGTTGCACCACCCACTGGGGAAACACCTGCACCGTCACACAGGGCACATACACACGAGTGAGCTGTGCCGGGCCTCGGGTCCCAGAGAACCACCATGCACAGCCAGGTGAGCAGGGCTGTGCTAACCCCCAAGACAAGCCCTCATTCTTTGCGGAGCATTGTACCTCAGCAATGGCTTCAAACTCCTCAGGGGTGGCCCCCACTCCCGTCCTGACTTCTCGTTGAGGGATTTCTGGTTGTTTATCTGCAGTTAGAGTGACTATTAGGGTTACGGTTTGTGCTCAAGATCAAAGAGAATATCCTCCCCCAGTGGGTTGCACAGTGATTTTCGTTTTACCAACTTGCACCAAAGACACCGTTTCTCAAGTCAGAGCATCAGGTGATCAAAGTAACAGACACATGTGCTCAAGTTCCTCAGTATTTCAACTGACTTCAGAAGTGGTGCTGAACCTCCTCTTGTCAAAGAGTAAATGCGGTTTCCAAGTTCAGTCAGGCCTCAGCGGATTTATCACATGACCAAAGTCTTCAAAAACATGGATGAATAAAGTTCTGGAATATTGTAAGTCAGTTCCAGAAACACTCCTTCCACCAATGGCATCCTTAGAATTGGAACTTGGGTGACTCAGAAGTTGAAGCCCTCGTGGACAGGTTACTGAGAGAATCTCACTCATTATCACTGGTTCTTTCCTGCCTTTAAGAGAGCATCTCTCCCACCATCAGGTGACCTTTCAGGGTCCCCAGCTCTTTCTGGAGCAGGAACCATTCACTCCCACAGAGCCTCGGCCAGCGCTGTGCACAGAGTGCTCTCGGGATAAATCCCCCAGCTGACCCGACTTTCCTTCCCTAAATACATGCATAGACGTGTACATAATGGTATGGTGTTTCTAAAAATATCAACTCTGAGACCAGTATCAGGTGATGCCGAGTTAAGAACTTTAGGATTCATACAGTGCAGCCGTCCAGGATGCAGGAAGGACCCTTCCTGGGGCCCCGGTAGTTGCCACATTGCTAGGCAGACTTGGCAGTTGAAGGGGGAGCTGGCCACTGGCCCCACAGCTGACTCAGACCTGCTCCACCTCGTCCAGCACCTCTGGGCAGCCCCTCCCCACCACCCTCCCCAGCAACCTGCTCACCCAACCTCATGATCACGTGAGGGTGCGCCCTGGGGTGAGGCCTGCAGAGAGCGGGGATAATGACGGCTAAATCGGGTCAAAAAATGTCAAGCTAACAATCAAAAATCACAGAGCGCCCTGCTGGGAATCTGCCTCGTGAAGCTCCACGGCAGGAAGGGGACAGGTCACTGAGCCTGGCGGGGTGGGAAGGGCACACTCAGGCCGGGCAGGTGCGCCCCCAAGCCCCACAACGTGCATTCGGGGGTCAGGGTTTCCCAGGCACCTTCTTTGTAGTTTGCTGCCTGAATCGACACTCGAGGGGCGTGATCTCCCACGAAGTAAGAAGTGTCCACGTCGAAGCCCCAGATGAGCCCCTGAACTCCCAGCCTGATGACGCACCAGTCGTGACCTGGAGTCGTAAACCGCAGGGCAGCCCTTCAGACAGCGCGGCAGATCGAGCCCGAGACCAGACAAAACCGAGACGAAACGGACCCCACAGGAAAAGGCTCTCAGCTGAGTCCTCAGCCGCGCCTTCAAGGCCTCCCGCAGGGCGGCCCCACGCGGCTGCTGCCCCCACGTGTCCTCAGTTCTAATCAGACCAGAAACGTGCACAGGCCTTGGCTTCAACGACACCCGTTCTGATCCCAGACTGACTGCTTCGCGGGGGCGTCTTGGGTGAATTGCCTGCCCTCTCTGAGCCTCACGTCTTCAACTGCAAATCAGGGCCTCCTGCTAAAAGCTGACCCCAAGGCGTGGGGAGGGTCTGGCTCAGGTACAGCACGTGCTTAGCCTGCGCGAGGTCCTGGGTTCAATCCCCAGAAGCGCCACCAAGAGAACAAATTGACCCCAAATGTACTCTGCTTTCCTGCAGCCCCTGTTTCTAAACTTCGCAGTGTGAGTAAACGAGCCGTCATCTCCTCACCTGGGCTCCTCTTCCTTCTGGTCTGTCTGCCATCCGTCCACCCACCTCCCGAACTCGGTGTACGTGTGCTCTTTAAAGCGTGGGCTGTCCCTCTGAAGCAAAGAGGTGCGACAAGTGCAAGGTTAACATTCACGCGAGAGCCTGGGCTTCCAGCCAATGAACTTCGGCCCCAAAGGGACAGATGGACGGTGCAGACAGGGACCCTGGGGGAGTCCTAAGCTGGCCTGCGGTGTCTCCCCACCTTCACGCACAGGTAGCCCACACCAGTCAGGGGGTGCCTCCTTATCTTTGTAGTTCACACAATTAGCCCCTGACTGCAGTAAGTAAAACACGTCACAGTTCACTCCACAGGGTCCACAAACAAGGGCGACTCCCACCCGCCACCCAGGTACCTCCGGCAAGGCCATCGGAACCGAGTGAGAAAGAAGAGTTAGATTCACAAAGCCGCCCGAGAAGACGGCTTAACAAGGGATACAGCCCGCGTCACGGGAAAAGCAGGCTGGACCTGGGACCGGCTGAGCTCTCAGCCCCGCCCGGAGCCGCCCCGCCCGCCCTGCGCTCTGACCTCGCACAGGCCGGCGTGCGCTCGGCCCAGAGCCTCACGGGTCCTGAGACCAACGCTGAGTCCCCGCGGCTTCACCTGAGGACGGGGTGGTGAGCACATCCCTCAAGCTGGTTACAAAGCTGAAATAATCCTTGTGAATGTCCCTTGAATAGTGCAGACTCTGAGAAGTTGTTCTGGGCTGGGGGCAGGGCCGGGAATGGGGGGTGTCTCCTTTTCCCATAGGGTCAGGTGCAAGCAGGAGCTGGGGCTTCTGCTCCGGGAAACCCGCCCCACGGGTGGGCGCGGGGGTCGGTTTTTTCCCCTCCAAACGACACTGGAATGAGAATTTTCTTCCTCTGCGTACGGGGGCAAACACTGTGAATCTGGGGAACAGCGAGGTCAAGGTGTGCAGGCGTTTAAATTCTTCAGAGAGAGACACACGGTGACTCGTAAGAGCTCTGACACCGGCTGTGTGGCCCAGAACAAGCTCAGCAACATCTCTGTTCTTTGTTTTATTATCATTTCCCCCGAGGAGTGAGTCCTCCTGTGCGAGGGGTCCTCAGAGGGTCACACTTCAGCGTGCCCCGGGGCTGGCCAGGTCCCGCCCAGGGGAGCAAGGGCTCCACCAGGGAGGCCAGCGGGCCAGGGCGCAGCGGGG